GTTATTGGGCTTTTGCAAATAAATTCCTTCTAAACACGGAAAAATCAAGGAGTTAATCCCCCCCAAACCAAAAAAATTTTTTGTTTTTATCTAGTGAATACTTAAAATTAAAACTAATTAAAAGCTTTTAATTTCATTTTTAGAATGTGTAAATTCCCAAATCTGCAAGTATCACCTGTTTTTCAGATAGACATTTTAAAACTGAGATTAAAAACTATTTTAATCATTTTAATATATAATCTTAAGTGCATTTGCTAGATAAAATCATGAAGATATTTGTAAAAGTGAAATGAATTAATTTTCCTTGTTTAGAAGAATTTTATAGACAGAACAGTAACGCCCACCCACCAAACACTAGTGGCTAAAAAAGAATAATTTTTACTTTGGGTTTAAAAAAAAAATGACTTGCAGTTTTGAAAATGTACATATTTTAAAACTAAGATTAAAACTTTATTTCTTTTAATATCTCAGTTTAGGTGTATTCACTAGATAAAAACAATTTTATTTGTAGAAACAATTTTTTACGCTAGAGACTCGCATATCTGAAAATATATACATTTTAAAATGGAAATTAAGAATTTTAATTATTCTTAATATCTAATTGATGCATGCCCTATATAAAAAATAAATTTATTCATAAAAATAAATCTTCATTCATTTTTCTGGTTTACAACAATTTTATGATTGACGTAACACTAGCTTATTAGAAAGGAGAAAGCGATTACAAAAAAATCTGACTTCATAAAATTTAACATTGAGACAAAACTGGCAACTTTTTTATTTTTACTTGCTATTTTGTTAACTTAATTTTATGGCAAAAAAGTTTTTGGTCAAAACTGAAACAAGTAGGTTTCACTGAAATTTTCAGGCATCGTCATATTTCCCCCTTTTTTTTCTTCATTTCTTTTGTAAACAAATAGATTTTACATTTATTTCCTAAAACTAGTCAATTAAATGATTTTAATGTTTTTGTTAAATCTTTTTCTCTTACAATGGTATAAATGTTGATAAAATTTAATTTTATTAACATCTGAAAGACTTTTTCAGTAGTGTTTCTTTGGATATGGTCACTCAGTAGGGATAGCACTTAAGAAACCCAAAAGTGGTTTTTTTTGGTTTTTTTGTTAAACCGCCCATCTTTAATACACACACACTAATATATATATATATATATATATATATATATATATATATATATATATATATATTTTTATAAAAAATATTTTTTTTTAAAATATTTTTATTGATTCATAAATTTTTTTTAATCTACTTAAAAAGAAAAATTTGTTTTTAACCTAGCCTTCTGTTATATTTTCCAAGTTGCTTAATATCTCTAACAAGCACACATTGTTAATTTTAACCTCTTCATTCATAAGTCCTTTGCCCTCCTACTGAAGCATACCTGTAATTGTTTGCTGATATGCAGTGGATATAAATAGCCACTTGTTGATATTTTACTATACCTGAAGCAGAATATCACCAAAAGAAATTGCATCAAGAGGTTATTATTAGGAATATATTACCACAGTTAGTAGCTGCTATATATTCTGAGTGATTTCTTAATTTATATTTAATGGTTTGAACAATATTCAAGTCAATAGCTTTTATCAGCATTATAAAGCCTGTTTAACTTTATGCATAACATGGTCTGGGAAGTACCCAGCCATTTAATATTTTTAAAAAAAAAAAGAAAGTAGCCTACTTAAGTCAATGATGCTTTACTCATTTTAAAAGCACTTTAGTGGAATATCATACACTTATGATATTCCTTCCACTTTTCAGAACAGACCTCATGATCTTCTTTTAGCATCATCATCTGCCTCATTGTTTCTTAATTTTATCAATGGCAATTTTAGCTTTGGTAATGGTTGTAGAGTGATATGATTCATATAGTGGGGTTAACAGGCCTGAGTCGTGTGACTACATCTCCTTCACCCTAGTCTTTGGTATGTGATGAATCTACTTGCTCAGTCATAGTCATGCAGTACACGACTCTGGTTGATGGTGACTTATTTCTGACTGAATAACTCCATGGAAAAGTTTGTTAATGCATGTATTGTTTTTTCTGGTGACAAAGTTACTTCAAAGCTGATTCTCAACATATTCAGAATGATAGGCTATGAGTTTGGGAATTGGTTATATTAAATACTTGGAAAACAAAATTGTCTTCCAAATTTTTTATTGGGAGCTTTTATGATTTTCTTGAGTAAAAAGTACTTTCCTTTGTTTATAAGAAGTTTGAAATGTTCTTTTGACTATTCCAGTTGAATCCATTACATTCACTTACATGCTAATACCCTTGGGAAAGGTAGGAATTTTCCTCTTCTCCCTCCAGCTATGGGTAAATAGCAGGACGGACCGGGTTCTATAGCCTTGGATGGCAACTTGTCTACCGCAGAGAGAAATGGCAACCTACTGCAGGGAGAAAAATTGCCTCATCAGTCATGTATTGAAAGATTGTGTATCATGCATGGCTCATAACTGACTGAATATAGCACCAGCAAAACAATTTTTAGTTCTTTGTGGAAAGATATAGTCTTTCATCTTCTTGCTCAGTTCAATGTAGCACACACAATGTTGATTTAGTTCAAGTCTTCCCACTTTAGTCCAGTTGTGCATACAAGTATCAGTTTTTGAAGAGACAAGAAAAGGGTCCTACTTGAGTCAATCAATATACCTTTTTTCAAAATAACCAATATTTCTTCTAATAGCTACTGAAAGAAATGGTGGCAATCATGAAAAAATGTGCATATAAGTATAAGGAATTTGGTTATATTTTTGCAGGTTCAGAGTCATCTGACAATGAAAGCAGTAATGGTCCTGTCATAGTTGACATGTTTTACTGATATGACATTTCACACATTGATATTGATAATGAAAGCTGTGGTAAAAAGTGTTTTTAATTTTGGAATTAATTCTTCCTGTGCAGAAAAGAGTAAAAAAAAAAAAAACAATCTTTCTCTCCCAAGTAGTTAATGTATTTACAATTACATTTGAATGTTTTTGCTTGTAGTCAGTCTGCAATACAGATAACTATTGAATTATAGGTCAGCGGTTTTCAGTCCCCAGTCACTTTCATCCACCAAATTTCCTCAATTTATCCACCCTTCATAACATTAGACTTTTACACTGGTTATTATTTGTTTGAATATATAAACTGAGCTTAGAAAATCTGAGAAACCAATCTTTCGTTGGTTACATTCCATTAGCCATGCTTTTTATCCCCATATTTTAATTAAGAAAAGACACTTTATTTTTTTATTTAAATGCTAACATAAATACTCTGTTTTCAAACAAATCAAACTTAGATAAAAGTTCATTAACCTTTTTATCAAATTATTATTAATGTTAAACTTAAATTAAGATATATTTAAACATAATAAATCACTTTTTCAAGCAAAAACTATAGCAAACCTTTTTCGAAAAATAATTACTTACTATTTATTTTGGAGTTTTTTAGTAAATAGTTTTGCTTTTAAACATTAAGAAGCAAGATATATTGAGAATTAGTTTTGAAAAGTAATTATTTAAATTTAAAGTTGTATTTGGAAAGGAAAAACTTTAAATAAAAATACAGACATGACTTATGGTCAACATTAGTCATGCTGAATATTTGTTTTACGGATTTAACTATAGTTTATTTAATTTCTAAAAAAAAATAAGGCTTTCTATAGTTTTTGCTTTAATAAAACTTAATTGAAAATTTACTTTGTTAGTTAAACCCATTTTCCATAAGATTACTGAAAAATATTAAGTCAATATGTGTACACACACAGACACGCTCTCTCTCCTTATACAGATACTGAGTGTGTGTATATATATATATATATATACACACACACACACACAGACAAGCCTCTCATTAACGGACCAATAGGCATCTGTTAAAGCATCTCATCTGTAGATGAGAAGGGATTATTTTTGAGTTATAAAACCACTATAGTAACTACCAGTAGTTATGGTCATAATGTAAATGCTATAATGCCTTTAATTAGGCAAAATAACAAAAATAATAGATTTCTCACAGCTACTTTTTCACACACACACACACACACACACTAATGTATTGTACTTTCTATCTTTTTTTGCAATTGAAAGGCCCACTACCACCAAGTGGTCAATTTGAGAACTAATACAACTTGTTTTGCAATTTTTGAAATAACATCACTGATGATTTGGAAGTTTTTTTTTGCCTGCAGATTTTGTCTGCTGCATTTAAAATCCATTGATAGGTGGTTTGTTCATGTATTTATTTTGTAGCTGTACATACAGGGTGAGACACTACTCACACTCACTTGCTCTCAAATATTTGAATAAGTAAATATTAAACTTTTTGTCAAATAATTGTATTTAATATTCTTTTAAATTTACTTTGTTTTAATATTCATTTTTTAAAGTTACTTTTATTTACTATAGATGTGAAAATAAATTCAAGAGAAGAGAAATTTTAAAAATACATACTTGGATAGCATTTAGCAGAATAAAGTAAAAATGAATGATAATCTGATCCAAGAATAAGTTCTCACCATTCGTTTTTTAATCTTTAATTCTGAGAATTTCGAATGCATTTTAATTTTAAATTTTCTTTGTAAATACAAATCATATGATTTTTTTTATAAAAAGCTGACTTGGGTGATAATGAGTCTGTATATATATTTACTTTGTCATAAACTATTGTATTCTTTTTAGTTTTAGCCAGACATGCACCCATACAGAAAACTGCCCTTTTATATATGTATAGATATACTTTTTCAGTTTGAATTTCCTACTCTAAAAGCCATATACCTCTTGTTTAAGAATCACTAGTATAGACTATCACAACCTGAAGATCTATTTCTCTATTTTAAGTAAGCTTAAGATGCTTCAACACTCTACTGGTCAAAACACTGTTACGCAACTTAAATGCACCTTAGCTATTTTTGCTTAATGTGCTATTAATTTTTATTATTGTTGCCATTAAGCTACATATTCTCGTTTTTTTTCTTTTTCTTTTTTCGCAGCTTCAGCTGAGAAGGATGATATTGTATCCAAGCTGAATGAATTAACCAGAAAAATTGACAAAATGAAACTAAATATTTTTGATGTCACACGAAATAAACATGTAGAGTTCCTTCCACAATTGGCAACAGCAGAAAAACTCTCCAGCCAAGTTCAAAATCTGAAAGAAGAGATGCTTGCTGTTAGAAATAACATAGATACAGATGTAAGTTGCAAATATCTTCCTGTTTTTTTTATTTATCATCAACATAGACTGTATATCTATGGTTGATGTTAAAATGGGAACAAAATCTACCCCAGTATCGAAAGGGTGAAAATGTCTGACACAACCATTAACTCTTCTCGGTTCTTTCTCTTTACTTTCAAGATCTTGTAGTGTCCAACATTTTGTGATAAACATGTATACAAAAGAACATATCAGAAATATTGTATCAAATTGAAAGAGGTTAAAATTTTGTGTGATGATTTGATTTCTATCTGAAATTCTGACATTAAGTATTATTCTGCTTGTTTGTATGTATGACTATTGTTTTTTTTTGTTTTTTGTTTTTTTCTACCAAAGAACAATGTGTGTGACAGAGGATTGAATAGTGACTGACTTAGCAAGTGATTGCATATTATCTGTATTTTTGCCATGTGCCATATTGGCAGAAGTAGTTGTTTGCATGCATTCACCTGTCATACATGCAGATCACTTTGCTAAAAAAAAAACACGGGCATCAAGTGAGCAAGACACCTTACTTTTCAGTTTATTATTGTGAGGTTACATCAATTGACAGTCTGATGGGAGAACAGGTGTTGTGGCTGTTGAGGAAGCAGGCATGTGTAAAGCGGAATTGACAATTTTCAAGAGGAAGATGGCAGAGCAAGACTTATCTGATGCAAGCAATTTTAAGATAGTAAAAAGTTCACAAAATAAATGTTCATCTGCTAAAGGGATACAGTCAAATGGTTATAGCCTGACTTCAAGGAAGTGTCTATAGAATTGGGCAGGGGGAGAATTTTAACAGTTATTTCCTGAGATTGAAACCAACAGTAGTGAAGCAATGAAGAGTATGAAAGTGAAATAAGTGTTGCAACATGACAATATTGAGCTAGTTGGTGATAGTTATGAGATTTAATGGGTGTCTCATATATATATATATATATATATATATATATATATGTGTGTGTGTGTGTATATATATATATATATATATATATATATATATATATATATATATATATATATATATATATATACACACACACACACAAAATTGTTTTGTATCTGACCAATCTGCAGCACTTCTGAGTTGAGGTCAATCACACTTTGTAATTGAGAAACTTGTGTAATATTAAACAGAAAGCAATTGGTATGGAAAGGTGTACAGGAAGGAAGGTAAGCAATAAGAAATCTAAGGGGGGAAAAAAATTATAGATGAAGAAAGAGAAGCAAGTTTTTTTGGCTGGCTATCAAGAGACACTGTGAAAGGTTGAAAGGCAAGTACAGATGAAAAGGCATCCGATTTATATATTTAGGTACAACAACATGCAATAAAAAAAATACTTGCATTTCTTCTCTTTGGGGTAGGGAGGAAGTGGGGCATATGAAACTAATCTGTTTATACATGATTTAGATGAAATTGGGATGGGCAACGAAAATCGAAAAGATAAGGAGAGAATGAGAAGATACAAAGGGTTTAAAAAAACAAAAAAAAAAAAAAAGCAAAGATATGAGATAATAAATAAATCTCAGTTGTCAGTACTTATGAGATTTCTACAAGTCTGGCTAATGGTGATTGTTCCACAAATTTTTATGACCAGTATCTTCAGCTTGTTGCTTTCAATATAATATTTCAATGAACCTTAAAGTATGGCCAGATGCAGTGTACAACTGAAAACCAGAAAACGCCCCAACCTTAAACATTCTGTTAAAAGCCAGATACTAATTCATTTATTTTCCTTGTGTTTTTCTTTCATATTGACTTGCTTTGCTGAAAATCCATTTTCTTAAACAATACTGAATATTTCTATTACTTCAAATACTATTTTCAGTGGATAACTGTGTTGGAAATAGATGCCCTGTTTATGATTTAAACAGTTTGTATTATGTCTATTTAGCATGCACACTAAAAGAAAATGTTCTCCACAACTGAACTTTGTTGGTCTCTGATGCTTTCTGTGGCCGTGCAGTCTAAAGTGGATTAAACTGTGGTTCCTCCTACAAAGGGTGATGTAGGTTCGAACACTGCCAGAAAGCACATTTTCTTTAAGATTTCTTGAGTGCACAGGCCAATAGACTTATTATATAATGCTTCAAATAAAAGCGGACCATCTATTTCAAGAAGCCAGTAAAATAATGTTTGAAGTAATAAAAATGTTGGATTAAAAATAAATCCATTAATTATTTTAGAAATGTATAATGTCTTGCATACAATATCTTGCTTAGATGCACTCACTGAACAGTATACCATAAGCTGCCAACACATAATTTCATGTAATGGATTGAAGACTGTTTTCTATCAAGATTCTTTTTAATAAAAGCAAACACAGAAAATCCTGACTTTTTGTTAAACAGTGTCTCATCATAAAAATAACTTTTATTTCAACTGGGCATTTTGTTCCAGAGGGAACATACATACTGATTTCAATATAATATCAGTCATGCAATGTTGGTTTGTTTGAAGTTGTACACAAATATTTGCATGTTTTCATGTTGAAAATGTACTTTTAGACTTGCCCAAATAGCAGCAACCATGACAGCATTTAATATAGGTGATTTTATTTATTTTTAAGTTTCAGCTGATTTAATGAACAACTTATTTGCTTATTTAAAATTTCTTAAAGGTTTCTGGTGGGAAATAATAACAAAAATATTGATACTATTTGTTGCTTATAAGATGCTCTTTATTATAATAATGAAACGGTCTATACTCAAAATTAAATTTCATGTTTTAGGGTGAATTCTAACTTCATATAATTTTATTTTATAGATCAAAGCTCAGTTGAACCAGTCAAGCAGTGAATTTCAGTCCTTGTCTTCTCAGTTACAAGAAACGACAGTGACATTAACTGTGCTTGAGAAGATGCTCATGTTAGACAAGTACCTTGTGGCCTCCGACATAGCATTCCGAAACCAAGAATATGTGAAGGTGACTGAAAGCCTTATAGACATTCAAGAACTACTCTCCAAACCTGTCCATGCACGTGAGGATGAGATCCTAATTCTGAAGGCCGTGCAGATGGAAACAAAAATTCTAAAGGAAAAATTGGTATTTGATTTGAATGACACATGGCGCCAACACATCCTCTGGGACACGCAAGATTCAAAATCAAATGAAAAAATTGTCAACAAACTTAAGTTTGCAGTTTCTGACAAAAATCAGGATGTTCTCTGTGAAATGATCCGTGCCATGTGGAAAATGGGTACCCTTAAGGCCAAACTCATTCAGCTGGGGGATAATCTCCTTAAATACATGATTAAACCAATCATCACAAAAGCAGCATCACTCTCTCAACAAACTGCAGAATATCCATGCCTGTCAGTCACCATTGATTCTACCAATGAAGATATTGCCACCCCTGAATCTGCCCTTGTCAAAATTGAATCCATCCTTCATTATCTAAACACTAACCTACTAGGTATAACTCTCAGCAAGTCTGAGGATGAAAATGAGTCAGACTTGACCCTCATGGAACATTTTGGTCACGTCAATGCTGATGAAATTCTCAATGTTATTGTGCAGGAGTGCCTTTTGCATTCTATCCCCAGCAATAATAAGGACTTGGAAAAATTTGATGAAGTTGTTGGTTTGGTTAGACAGTTTCAGGACAAGTTGTTAGCCATGTCTTTCATCAAGGAGAATAACAGGATCCTAAAGAACTTCATAGAGAATGTTAATGTCCTCTTTGCTAACAAGAAGTGCCAGGAAATTCTCGAAGATGCTCGGAATCTGATGAAGTCGGAGATTCACCACACTGTCATAATTTCCAACGACAAGCCTCTTGGTGACATAGCAACAGCTACTGACACTGATGCTCCCTCTGCTAAAAAAGCCCGTAAACTTGAGATGTTAGCCAATGAGACACAACTGAGTGATAATACCTTCCGATTACCAACATGCCATGTTAGGTAAGATATTGAAAATCTTTCTCAAATTGTGAGATTTTTAAGGGTAGGTCTCTTTTTTTTTTTTTTTTTAACAGACTATTGGACAGGTCTAGATGATATTCATAAGACCAAACACAAATGATATCATAGAACCAAACACAAAATATTTTACATTAAAATTTTGATTCTATTTCAGAAAATACAATTAAAATCAAATTAATATCTTTGCTTGTTGTGGTGTTAACTGAAGTAAATAACCAGGCTGAATTATTCCATTCTAAGAAATAAAGTTAATGTAAATCAATTTAAAACTGAGGTTTTGCACAAGCATAAAGAAAAGAAGCAAATAAAAACACAAGAGGTTCGAGTATGTTGAAAGAAACAAATCAACTTTTATCCGTCTGTTATATGCAGGAGTGTTTTTTTTTTTTTTTTTTTTTTTTTTTCCCCCCAACCTGTTTCTTCAGAGTGTGACACTTTAATACTTCTTAGGCAAGTTCTGGTCTTCTAAGTCAACTGGTTTAGTTTTTAAGTGCTAGCTTAGCTTCGTTTGTCAATATAACTTGCTATTGGTAGAAAAGGTGAAGTTGGAGGTTATGGAATCTCTCGGTCAGCTTCTGTGAGGCAACACTCTGATTCCTGCTACTCTAGAAGTTTCAGTCCAGCAGTTCAACAACTATTCTGGCAAACTGCCAGAGGGCACTCGCTTATATGTCCACCGACCAAAAACTGGTGCGTGGTTTAGACACAACCTGAGGTTTTTGGTAAATCCCGATTTCTGACAAGGGACCTCTTTGTTGTTTGGCTAGGAAAACTGACTACTTCCCATTTTGGGAAAATTAATTACTATTCATTTTTGGGGGGAACCCTTCAATTGTGGGGAGAGGTTGCAGGATAGCTATCCTCACATTGGTACTTCATACCAATTCCTTTCAGTGGGCGTTAATAATTCCCCTATCTTTCTCATCAAATTGCCTCTGCCTATCACCATTGCTACCACTCAACCAATGGCATCCCGGTCGTGCAGTTGTGGCTAAGCTGGCCTCATTAAATATATATATTTGAATTTTTGTTTACAAAATTCTTGTTCTCACCAGCCAAAATTCTTACGAATAACACATAGCTCTGTCTCTTAAAATCTGATATTTTCGATGCTCCTGGCCACTTTGCATTTTCTTAATCCATGCTTTTACAAACAACATCAATCGTCAAGCTCTGTGGGAACCCTTGGCTTCTCAGAAAAGAAAAATAAATCTCTTTATCTTCAAATCGGCAATTCTTTTGAGATATTTTCTCATGCCAAAATTCTATAATCAACACATGGCCCACTTAAAATCATATGCTAAATGCTTGGTTATTCTGTGTTTTTTCTCGGCCAGTACTTTTACAATGTCATCAATCAATTGTCAAAGGCTCACATATACCCTTTTTGTGAGTCTACTGTTTACGTGAATTCTTGGGATTTTGAGTAAAGTAACTTTTTGGGAAATAAAATCAAATCTTTAATGTCAAACGGTGTATCTTTTGGGATATCTTCCTTCCGTTCTTAGTATTTCTTGTTTAATTGTTATGGTTAATTAGTTAATCAATTACCATAGCTAAATAGTGTCACATGGTTTATAAATTTTACTTTAAAATAAGTTAGTTATGTGTAGTTAAAAAAAAGAAATATCGATGTATGTAAATAGCAGGTTATGCTGAGATCAATTAAAAACTATTTTTTTTTTTTTTAGTTTACTATTCTTTCCAAAAGAGTTTTTTCAGGATTCATTTAATAAAACCATTCATAAACCATAAAGATGTCTTAATTTATTTTAAGCAATAGTTTTATTTTGGAGAGAAAATAAGACAAAAAACATCAGTTTTAATTCTTATTTTTGATAAACCAGATTTAAATTTGCCTTTACACAATTATATCGGTGCATGTTTTGTTTTTATTTACATTGGAAGCTTTTAAGAAATATAACGTTAAAAATAAAAAAAAAAAGATATTAATTGCAAATTTTTAGTAAAATATAAATTGACAGTCTAATTTGATTTAATTTTTTTTTTTTTTCTATCTCCAAAACTTTTTAAAATGTCTGAAGAAAAACACAAGATAGGGGAGGTGTTTCCTCTAATCTTGGAGCATCTCTTGCTAATGCCTTCCTCTTGGATATACAGGCTATGGTTTGTTTTAACTCGGGTCTTGGTGTTTATAAACATAAGTCAAAAATAGAGAAAACACAGAAATAAAAGTAAAGAAACACTAAAGGTATTAAAAAAACTTGTCTGCTTAAGAGGAGTTGATGGCAAGATTAATAAAGATATGATGTCCACCTCATCAGTCCATTCGATCCCCATGGTTGACTGTTGACTGGATCACTTCAATCCAATCCCTGCTTCGTCCCACGTTGACAGGAATTATCGATTTGGTCTAGACAGAGTAAAGTCACAACTATAAAATAAAAAAAAGCATAAAAGAAAATGTTTTATATAACATTTCTTCTACAGAGCTGGCAGTACAGTTATCAGTTTTTTAGGCAGGAATATATATTCTTCATATGGGAATGTGTTATGCAGAATTATCAACCCTTCCCTCTTTGAATATTTTGTGACACTGTTTATGATGATCAAGTATAGACAAGGCTTCTGGAATAACTTAAGTTGGAGGTTTCTTCTAGCAGGAAGTCATGTAAGATCACATGAAGCACTCATCTCTCGTCCAGAATCTGGAAGTACTGTAGTGTTGGTTGCTTCAACTCTCTGCTTATATGGGTTCTTGCTCAAAACTGGCATGGAGTCTGACAGGTCCTGGGGTTTCAGTAAAAATACCCTAACACCTACAAAGAGTCCTTTGTTGTCTGACTCTGGAAAATTAATTGCATGCCCAATTTTGATGAAATACCTCCTCCTAAGAGTCATGGTAGCAGAGTATCAATCCATCTTAACTCCTTCCTTCTCATATTGGTACCTTATACCAATACTGTACAAGGAGTGTATGCAATTCCTCCATCCACTTGATATTTACCTGAGCCTTCACTTCAGTTGTCATTTTGATAAGCTTGATTTTTAGACTGTGTAGGCGAACAGGTGGGACTTGGCTCCAATCACCAATTTTAATAATTGCTCAAAATTTCATCATCAGGATTCCTTGACAAAAACCCCATTCTCTCAGTCAGGCATTCACCAGGTGTCCCCATGACAGCTTTCTTAGCAAGTTTCAACATGTGACACTTGGGTTCAGCTCCTATCCAAAGAAATCCAATTTCCTTGGTGATCTATGCCTTCTACCATTTTTGACAAGTGAAATAAATCAATTCTCTTAACTTCACTTTCACTCCCAGAAAACCCTAAAAATATTAGTCCACTTCTCATCAGAAAAATCCCTTGACCTAGCTTTGACTATAAAATCCAGAAATTTACCAGATGGCTTCAAGTATACAAGGAATTGGGCCATCATTTTCTTTATCTTTTTGACTGACTTCCCTTTTTAGGTTATGGTCTGCAGGAATTCCATAACCAGCACTTTAAATTGTGATTATCAATCAGTGTCTCCATTTCAGTCTTGTCTTAGTAAAATCCTCTGCTGACTTGAATGTTCTTAGACCACCTCTCCCCGTCCATCATGGGTTTAAATTATCCAGATGGCTTTTTCGGCTAGATTCCACAAAATAATAAAGTTGTTTTACTTCATATCAACCCTATCCCATTTTTTATGGTTTATTTGTGGAAGAAAACAAATTTTCTGAATTTTAATAAAATCCTGCCTCATCTTTTGATGTGTTTATTGAGCTATCTCTTAACTCTTCCAACATCTTAGTGTCACAAAGAAACTTTGTTGTATAAAGAATTAAAGTAGTTATAGGGGGAAAATGGTGACAGTAAACTATTAAAAAAAGTGGAGGCGTCCAGATTTACTTAAGAGACAAGAACTGTGACTGCAAAATACCTGATTGGTAGAGTAGTTCCAATTACAGTGACACTTCTAGCAGAAAAAGCTTTTAGTGTTTTGGAAGAATTTGATAGTATACACAACCTTAAGGCTGTTCTTCTGGAGAATACAAATACTGAATGTAAGGTATGCTTTGTAACTGCTCTGGAGAAGCTCCATTGAAAATTACATACAACTGACTGTCCATTACATCAGAATGAGCTACCATTCAGAGCTGTTTTTCTTTTTTTAATACATTGACTGTACAAGAAGCCCAACTGCTTTTACAGTCCCACTAAGCAAATTGTGTGAAAGGGACTATCATGATTTGCTACACGTAGAATTTATCAAAATCAGCGGCCCTCTTGATAATATGGCACCTTTTGTGAAAATGGGAGTTCTAAGTAAAGACTATAAAGTTTGTCTTTTTTTTTATTATTGGAATATACCCTAGGGATTTAACTCTACATTTGCTGCCTGGATAATTAGGCCATTAAGTAATTCAAGATGGTTGACTTTAGCAGCCACATTAATGTGTATATGGGCAAGAGAACTCCATGACAAGCTTCACCGTTATTCATTATTGAAGTGTGTGTCATTAGCTGGTTTGAAATAAAGGAGGATAGCAAATTCTATAACCAGCAGATGATCTAAAGGATTACAAAACAGTCTGAAGAAATTCAAAATATCGCATTCAAGAATATCCAATATAATGCTTTTGATTTGTTACATGAGAATGTGTTGTATTTAATGACGAAGTCAGATGAATTGGAAGTGAGAAAAGTATCTCTTGAAAAAGTTGTTGTTTACAAATTTGAAACAAGACTTACACATTCTTTCAAAAACCTTTTATGTAATCAAGCAAGACCTTCCTTTGTTTCTAAAGGCTCTTACACTGAAAATTTGGTGATATAATTATATAAATATTTTTATATATAATATAAATAATAATAATACTTTTCATGTAATGAAAGTATAAAATATATATAAAATTTATTTGTTAAAATAGCAAACTTTTTTGATTTACTGTTGAAATAACATTTTTCAATCAAATAATGACAAAAATGAAAGACTTTAAATGCATTTTCAATGCTGATTTTTGATTGAGTTTCCTCAAAAAGGGTTTAAAGCTAGGAATCTATAATTTGGTGCAAGTTTTTATCTCATTAGTTCCCAACTATAGACTTGTCCAAAGTTGATCTGAGGGAAAAGTGTAAAATCGACATCCCTATTGGTTAATGAGTTTGGAGGATTTTGATTTTTACTTATACAAGCTATGTTTCCTCCACCCCCTTTATTATATTCACTATATCTGTTCACATGTTCTGTATAAAACATTGGCATCTGGTAGATGCTATTAGTATTTTATATATATATATATATATATATATATATATATATATATATATATATATATATATATAAAAGTTTTGATGTATTTGTTTAATAAATCATGCTTTAGTTATACAGGAGGGGTGTCAAATATTTTTTTGTGTGTCTAACCCACTTCCAAAAATCTGAACTGATAAAACAGAAAATTATTTTTTTTATCCCTTCTTGCTCTGATCACAATCATTTCATACTCTCCTCATGTATTAAATTAATTGCAATGCATTTCTCTAGTTAAATAATTTCTAATGAATTTTTATATATTTTAGTATGTTGTATCACTATATTAGAATGAATAATGGCTTTGACATTTGATTAATAAATTTGATATTATTGGTTACAATTCACCAGTAATACTATGTGTTTACATGAAATTCTAACTACATCCAAACCATAAATAATAATTTCTCTGCAATGATTGTTTATTCTTAAAGTATATTTTGTGTAGAAGTTGTTAAGATTTTTTTCCTTCCTCCACCCAAAACTTTGACTATAAGATAATGTTGAAAAAATATGTAACCAAAAGATATTGATCAGTTACTCTGCTCGTCATGCTTGATACCTTGCCAAAAAAGCACATTGAATTTTCTGTGTATTGAAAATATTTAGATATAGGAAATCTCACCAACCTGTTATGATTGTAACTGTTGGAGAGCTGAATTTTTGATTGATTTTTTTTTTTTTTTTTTTTTTAATGATTGAAAATGTGTTATATAATAAATTAATGATTTGGCAAAAGTCTCAGAAATTGTGTCTGTCTTGGTATATAAAGTGGAAATGGCTTTAATCTTCATTTAGTTAAAATTATCTGTAATCTTTTTGAGTACAGATAATTTTATTTAAATGGAGATTGTTTCTCTTTTTTTTTTTTTTTTTAAAAAAAAAAATCCATTACGATAAGTTATTTTCTCAGCTTAGTCTGGCACAAGGTAACTGTAGCGAGACATTTAGTGAGGATTGAACTTACTAGCATTGACTTGAAAAACAATCTTGCTTTCATGCCAGTCACTTGAATCCACTTTTCTTTTCTTTTTTTTTCCCCACTTCAAGCCATGAAATTTTTTATTAGATAATGTTTTTACATTTTTCTCGTGTAAATCAAAATACAAAATTGTTTGCAGTTTATGCATTTAGGCTGATATTAAAAACACTCTCCTTTTTGTTTTTATATTTCTATTCTGATAAACATCTTTTACATATTTCTCTAATCTGTAGAACATTAACAGAAAAAATGTTGAACATATTTGTATACAGTCCTTTTATTTAGCATGAGATTCTTTTGCTCTTCCTCCTTTGTAAAATCGTCTTGTTTTTTTATTTATTTTTCAGTGAATCTGTAATGAAATTAGTTGCATTGGCTTATGAAACACTGAGTGAGGCTGTGAGCAGTTCAGATCCTTGTGCTGTGAAATTATTCTATGCTGTTCGGAATATGTTTGAACTTTTCTGCTGTGTCTTCCCAACATTTCATAAACGGCGCTTAGCGACATTACCACAACTTACAGGTATTCTAATTCTTGAAGCATTTAAAACTTCTTGGAATTATTTTATTTCTATTTTGATATTTTTAAAATAATACAGACAATACGTTCAAATAAGTGGGTTGAAATAGGTAAAAAGACTGACTTTAACCTTTGTTGAGAATTTAAAAAGTTAAAGTGCGTTTTCCATGACTTTACACAAGTAAAATAAATGAAAATTTTTACAAAGAACAATATTTTCTAGCCTGCATATAAACTAGTTTAGCAATCCCAGTAATGTCAATAGTCTCTTTATGTTCAGTTGAAGAGTTAGTGGCATATCTGAATTTATATTATCTGCTTTTTTGCCTTTCCTCTACATACTTCTTCTTTACTTGAACATTAAAAAAAAAAAAATTTTTTTTCATTCTTATTGATTTACTGGGAATTACAAATTCTTGCCAATGAATGTATGTTGGTTCCAATCCTGAGTGGAATGGCTGCAAAAACGTTCCCCTATTTTGCTGTTCTTTCTTTTGTTATTGTTTGTTGGGAAGTGGGGGCATCCCTGTCAATCACACTTAACCATGGCCAATTACTTGACACAGCATGTAAATTCATTCCCTCATCATTTTCTCTCTTCCTGCTACAAGGCTTGTCTAAAAAGAAAAAAAAATGGCTGCTCACATCAGTGATAACTTTGTTCTTCTTATTTATATGGGAGAGAGAGAGCTGACTGACTCCTCAACTTGAAACTTAGTTACAAGTTACGATTTTTACCTAGTTTTACTATTGCTCAATCATCTTATGAATTTGATATTGAGTGATATTTTTATAAAGACTGCTTATTAATATTTGTGTGTGAGAGAGAGATTTTGCTTAGCAGAAGTCCCTTGAACTTAGGTATTTGGAGTTTGATTACTGCCTCATTCTCACCCGTTTAGTGCAATTACTACCTCTGCGTGTGTTTCTCTCTTTAAGAGAACATTTACTGTTATTGGTTTGAATCTCACCATGAACAATTTCTGGTGACTTGATGATATCTGCCCGAGAAGGTGATCCCAGCACCTTTTTGGACAGTTCCTGAAACCCAAGCCTTGTGAGTTAAATTGGGTAGATGGCTTCCTTCAGAAACTGTCAATAATTGTTCTAGCACAAAATCACAAGTTATTGTGACCAGGTTTTGGCCATGTTGGACTTGTTCAATAAGAAATTGATCACACTAAATTGTGTTCTCTCCCAGAAACTGTAATTGTGGTCTGCTCAGCATATTGCATTGTAAACCACAGTGGGTTGAGTTGGCATCTTTAATAGGGATGTGCTAGCCAGCCTGTCGGACAGGTATGTTCAGAAACAAGTAGCTGGCTGTGATACATTTTCTGAAGCCATTGACACTACAGTTTCAGTAACTGGGCCTCATCTGAGCAAGAGAACATTACCATTGGACCGTAGCTGTTATGGACAATCCCAGGACATGATCTTGCAATGATTCCAGCACCTCATAGGCTCTATGCTAATGAACTCTTAATTGCAAAAATGCATCAGGGCATTTAACACTCCCTTTGTATACTTGTAATAACTGTACTTGATAACTATAGTCAACATTTCTGAGAAAGTGACATAACGAGTCTGGGGGGGAAAATATAATCCCTAATCCGATATAATTGCTTTATTTGAATTTGCTTTGCACTGCAATTAATATCAGTTATTGTATTTAGTTCCAAAGTGTCTAATTTGGAGAAGAAGTGGGAAGGGATTTTTAAAAAAAAAAAAAAAAAGTCTCTTTCCCTTTTCATTACCACCTTACTTTGACATAAATGTTTGTATTTACATAATGTTGTTGTTTTCCTCTTCCCATTTTATTCAAATATGTTCTCATATTGATCTGCCAAAGATGATTCACTATATGGTGTAAAATGAACCTGTATTCATTCGTGTTTGATTTTCTTGTCTGATTTTATTTTTTTTTATTTTAGCCATTCATCACAATAATTGCATGTACATTGCTCATCATCTCATGTTATTGGGACCCCAGTTCAGCCGACAATTACCGTCACCTCTACAAGATGGGGCAGGGACATTTGTTGACCTCATCCAGAAAGTCCGATCTATAGGCACTGGAGCTCTTATGCAACAAATGGCTACTCAGAGAGATGACCTACTTGACTGTCTCAGTGCTGCATCTGGTATAAAAAATTTTTTTTTTTTTTTTTTTTACAATTTTTTGCCAAATAAGATACATTAAAAAAAAAAGAAAACAGCCTAATGGTTTGGTTTTGGTAGTCTTTTTTGTAAATGTTATTAGTACCTATTTAAAATGGTGAAATAATGTTGAAATATCAAAATCAATTATATGCAAATATTTATTTCCCTGAATAAATCTTTGCCAAATGATAAAATCCTGGTATTGATTTTAAGACATTAATTTAAAAAATTTTTTTTGTTTTTGTTTTTTCTTCTTTAATCAAATCTTATTCGGTTCCAAAAAGTTAATCATATTGAAACAAATTTATCTTTAAACTTAATTTTTAAATTAATAAATATTTCTCAGAGTAAATTATCTTACCTTGATAGTGTTTTTTTTTGTTTTTTTGTTTTTTTTCTCTCTCTCTCTCTCTCTCTCTCTCTGTATCATTCTAAACAAATTGTACTTAATCATTTATTTCTCATTTCAGGTTTTGTTTCTGTATCAGAGGAGGGCAACCATTTTTCTGCTGAGCGTTCTATCAAGCAGGTTCTCTACAAGCTGAACCATCTTAAAACAGTCTGGGAAGATATCCTGCCACCCCATATATATTCAAAAGCAATGGGTACACATTTGTTAATTCACTCCTTTTCTTTCTTCACTTCTCCAAACAGAAGGCATCTCCTTGTATTCTTTGTGTGTGCACATGCAAGCATAGTATCAGTGTGGATTGGATTATTTATGCATGGATTGTTACTCTTGTCTAGAATTAGTATTGCCTTCTGACCCTCTGCATAGTATCAGTGCAGTACATGTGCATTCTAAAAATGATGGTATGCACCGAGGTGTATGTATATACTTACAGACATTTGTAATGGTTAACTACTTGAAATTCTTGGCGAGCCAAGTTTAAATTCCAATCAAGTTCATTACATATGCACAAATACCCTTGGGAAATGTATGAATCCATCTCCTCTCCCCAGCTATAGGATAAATAGTATGATTTGTATCTGGAAGTCATTGTTAATCTAAAAAAAAAAAAATTAATGCAATATTCACTTGCAAAAAAAAAAAATTCTTACAATCCAAAATATGTATTCGCTTTAAATAACCCATAAAGATTTGGTAAGCTGTAAGAAAACAAATCATAGTGACAAAAAAATTTTATCCTGGTTTTAGGAAGTATGCCAGGTTGAGAACTTAGTCAGCACCTTATTGTGTGTGTATGAGTTATGCCAGATAATTAAGAATGACAAAGGTATTGAAAAAAAAAAAAGACAGATCAAAGTGTTTTTAAAAAATTGTATACATGTGCAGCTTAAAGGTTATTCAATAAAACTGCTCTTTGCTCCATGGCTGGGCTAAGAAGCTTTTGTACACCCAGATCAGGTGGTTCTTGTCCATATTGGCCATCACCTGCATAATGCTGCCCTTTTAATTTCACAAATGTTGTCAACTTGGTGTGTATCAGATAAGAATTTTCTGCACATCTGCAAGATTTCTTTGTTTTTTGTTCTTTTTCTTTTACATAGTTATTTCCCAATTTGATTCAATAGGGAGAATCTTCTTTCACACGCACGCACACACTCTCTTTCTTACACATACATGCACTCTCTCTCTCATTCAGAGAGGTTGCTCCAAAAGTAATATCTATTTTGTTATGTTAGCCCACTGTCAGAGCAAGTAATATGGCTGTAGAGATTGAATTTCTAATAATTTGTGTGCTTTGTAAAGAGCAGCTTAACCGACAAAGGATGTGAAAAAGTAAAAATGTATCATTGGATATTCTTCTAGTTGACGTTCATTAATGCATTTTATCACGTAAAATGTATGTGATAATTCACATTCCGTGTACACCTGTCAACGAAAGAAATGAAGAGGGTCTCAAAAATGCATAACCAATTGTTATGACTATGGGTGGGGCAAGTATTTTGAAAACTTGCTCTATCAAACAGTATTATACTCTTTGTACTACAGGATGCTATGGGTAAATTGTTGCCATTTTATATTTTTAATTTTGTGTATGCATGTTGTTTGCTTTAGATTTTGTCAACTGCACAGTATGGTAGGGTCAGTTGGGCAATGTCTGTGAAAAAAAGAGCATCATGATACAATTCACTCCACCAGAAACTTGGAAATGCCATACTGTACTGCTTAGCATTCATGCCAGAAAATCCAATATCAACATTTCAGAGTATTTGGGTGTCAATCTGAGGACAGTGCAGAAGATTTGAAAGAAGTCAGTCTAATGGTGATTACAAAGGTGTTTGGAGTGATCAGTAGTGATGGTGATGTTATGTCTCCATTCATCTTCCCACAGGGCCTCAGACTCAACACTGATGCCTATATCATGTACCTTGAGGAGGTAATGCTTCCCTGGGTCAAGAGGGTGGCTGCTGGGTAACCCTATGTCTGGCAATAGAACTCTACACTATGCTGCACAGGCAGGAGAACCCAGTTATAGCTGTCAGACAATTTCTGTAACCACATCACCCTCTTACATCTGGTCACCTAACTCCCAAGACTGCAGCCCTCTTGATTATTATTAGTGGGGTTCAATTGAGTGAGAAAGCAACAAAATACCTTGTAACACCAAAGTTGAACTGAAGGCAAGGATTATGGCATTATTCACCAATTTAGACAAGGAGACTGTCCAGAAGAGTTTCAGGAGATTCCGAAGTCATCTAGAGGCCATGGTTGAAGCCAATAGTGGTGACTTTATTGAATAAATTTACTCTTTAGTATTTCAAGATATTTTTGTGTAATTTTGGTAACTATATCTGTTAAAATGAGATATCAGTGTTATTTTCATTTTTGTGTAATTTAGGTGACAATTTATCCATTGAACCCTGTATGTGTGTATGCATATGCTGATATTGAGTGTGTTCCAACACCCCAAAATTAATAAAAGAACATTATTTGCTGTCTTACAGGTACTCTGGTTAACTGTGTTATAGTGGAGATTGTCAACAGCATTACATCGCTGGAAGACATAAGTGCAGAAGATGCCAGCCACCTGCACCATTTACTGTGTATGTTTGATGAGAAAGCTGGCCCACTCTTTTGCACCAAATTCACAGAAGATTCTACCAATGAGGCACACATGAAAGTTGAGCTTCAAAGAAACATTCCAAAATGGATGAAGTTCAAAGAACTCATCTTTGTCTTGAATGCCAATCTTCAAGAAATTACTGACCGATGGGCAGATGGCAAGGGAGTGCTAGCTCATGAATTCTCCACAGGTGAAGTGAAACAGTTGATCCGAGCCCTGTTCCAGAACACTGACAGAAGAGCTGCTGTCCTTGCCAAGATTAGATAAGGACCAATCAAGTTTTGAAGAAAAAAAAAAAAAAAAAAAAAATAACTGGGGTAGGCATGGACATGCCCCCCCCCACCGCTTTTTTTTTTTCTTCTTTTTTTTTTGGTGGGGTGGGTGTTTGTCTTCGATCATTCATGGCCTTTTTTTTTTTTTTTTTTTTTTTTTAAAGACTTATCCTTTTCTTTTTTTTCTTAGAGAAGTAAAAATATATTTTGCCCAATATTTGGACTATATACTACTGGTGTTGGGGCGGGTAGGATTACCTTTCTCTTTTTTTTTTTCTCTTTCTTTCTTTTCTCTTTCCAATATTAACTCTCTCTCTCTCATAGTCTTTTGTTTCCTCTTCTATTTTATTTATTTCTTCCTCTTTGTTAAGTAGCATTTACAGTTTATTTAATGTTTCTTCTATCTTTTAAATTTTTTTTTATGTGTCCTTTAGATAGCTTGGTTTCAATTCAGATTATATTATAAATGACTAATTTTTGTTGGAACTAAAAACTTATCTCTGCCAGATATCAACTTCCTTTTGCTGAATGAAAATTCTTTGACAACCTGTAACCCAACTCTTATCATGCATACCAGTGTTTATTGTTAGAAGATATGGAGTTTTTTTTTTTTTTTTTTTTTTTTGTTTCTTAAGAAAAAAATTAAATTTGCTTGAGGAAGTAAATGACATAATTTACATTGTCCTAAAAATCTCAAGAACATCTATTGCCATTTAATTTGAAGGTTTTGAAGCAAAAGATTTTAAAGCTGTTTTCTTCTTTTTTTTTTCTTTTAAAATCTGCTCAGTCTGTAGAAAGGATGTTGTTTACTGAGTTTTTTAATTTTTTTTCTTTCACAAGTTGATAGCAAGGATTAAGCTAATTGTTACATATAATTTTAGTGGACACATGGTTAGAATAGCATTCCAATCAAGACTCAAGAATTCAAATCTCACCAAGGTTGATTTGTCAAGGAAGTGACTTCTTGATAATATCAACCTGGGGAAACAATCCAAGCATCTGACACTGTGGAGTAGTTCCAGAAAACTACACCACAGATTGATCCAAGCTTTGTGAGTGAAATTGGGTACATGGAACTGTTTGGAAATAGTTGATGGTTGTTAGTATGATATTACAAGCCATCATGACTCAGGGTTTGAGTTTACTGGCATTCTTCTACTACAGATGATGTGCTCTCTCACAGAAACTGTAACTAAGGTCTGCTCAGCATAGTTACAGTGTAAACCATTTTGACTCTGGGCGTTGAAGAAATGTGAATGTAAGCATATACATCAAGGATTAGCTAGCCACCCTAGCAGACAGGCATACTCGGATACAAGCAGCCAGTTATATATGATTTTAACTTTCATAATTCAAGGCAACATTATTTTCGTTTTTATAAGCTTGTTATCTTTTGTTTCTCTTTTTACAAATACTGATATCTATTTTCTGTCCACTTTCAAGCAATACAGGGCATAATTTGTGAATGTATAGCTTGTAAACTAGTCATTCCAGAATTTAACAAAACAGAATCAACAAAAACTCAGTTTGTCTTTACAAATAGTGTGGTTATTCAATGAAGGAGGAGTCACAATTAATCCAAGATAGACATTCTTTGGCTTTTGCATTTTGAAATTTAATTCTCACAAGTTATCTGTCCCCCAATATAAAAAGTATTAGAAAGAAAAGGTTTTTTAAATTGGTCTTTCCAATGGTATGAAATTTCTCAAATTCTGTTAAATTCTGAAATTTTCATTCTCGAAATAGAAACAAAATTGAGAATAGCTAGACAAAACCTTTCGAAAAATTATTTTTCATCTGTCATTTTTGTCTGTCCATTTACTAAATGGGATCAGTGATTTTATGCTATCTGGTAATGATAGTGTTTTTATTTTGCCACACTGGTCTGAGAATGGACTTTGGTTCAAACTGCAAAGTGACTATATAGAACTTAGTTTCCGGGTGTGAAAATTTGTGGTTATACTGCAGCATATATTTATTTTAGGTATTGTAGCTTTCCACAAATGAATGACCTACTCAGCCATGTTGAAATGAATGTGTTTTTTTTTTTCTTTTCTTGATTTGAGCTTATCTGTCCTTAAATCTATTCAGCTTAAACATACTTGTAAAATCTAATTATCAGTATTGTAAATATTTATCATTACACAATTTTCCATGGTATGTATGGTCATTTACTGCCACTTCAGTTTTTTTTTTTTTCCTTTAATGGTTTGTTTGGGTCCAAGCTTAAAGTCAAATGTTGAGACTTCACTTCATTTCCATTGTGATCAGTCTACATATTTACTGATTTAATTATGAACTCTCAATCAGAAGTTGTAATAAGGCAAATTGCTTAGCTTTTTATAGCGAATACTTGTTCTCTTAGGCATATTGTTATGAATATGGTTGTTTTGGTTCAAACTGATTGATGAACATTGAGACCTTGATTATATCTTAGTCACTTTTGGTCAGTCCTTTAGAATCTACAATATTCATCCATATAAGGTTCTTTGCCAATTTTAGCTTCCCATCTCACTCTAAGGAATCTAGCTAATTGTATAAGTTTAATGAAATTGAGTCTTTCTCCAATTATCATTACATTATTTTGATACTGAAACTAAGAATTTTTCTTTTTGTGTGAATTTGTTGACCCCCTCTCTCTCTTTCTTTTTTTTTTTTTTTTTTTTTTTTTTTGTTGTTGAACCCATTTATCATTCAGCATCATTCATTCTTTGTACATTTCTGCTGCAAACTGAAAACTAATTGCAAGTATTATCAGGGATGCCAGTGTCTTGCACATAACCATATGGGCCTTTCTCTCTTTCTCTCTCTCTCTCTCTCTCTCTTTTTTTTTTTTTTTTTTTTTTTTTTCTGTAAATAAAAATTTGTATTGGTTTTATTTGCTCGTTTGTTATTTTAGGCAGTGGTAGTGAGTGGCTGCCTGTCCTTCAGTCAACTCTCCTCCCTTTTGGTTGGGGAGTGACTAGAAACTTTTGTTTCAGCACCTGGTATTTGCAGTTATTTTCCTTAACCCACTGATCTGACAAATTGATGGTAGGATGGCTCTAAGTTTGTACCAGATTTGAAGCAAGAGAGAAATTTCAGTTCTTCAGTTATGGACTGACAATACATTAAGTGATCTTGTAATCAAGGATTAACAATGGACTCTAGTTACAAGATTGTATTTAAGATATATATTTAAGAGAGACATATTTATTAAGCTTAGTTTATTTTGGTATTGAGTGGAATATCACATATTCATGCTCCTTAGCATTCTTCTATTTAGCTCTGTGTCTAACTAAGCTTAGTAAATGTGTGTGTCCCTCCCCATGTGAGTGCTGAAAAGTTCTCAGTTCAACCAAGAAGACATTTCAATAAAAATTTTTAAAAATTCTGTTTGGTCATTTGCTATATCAGGGTTCCCAGCCTAATCATTGAATAAAATTCTCTGATAATTCCCTGAAAAATTCCACTGAAATTTGCTGATTTTGGGACATTGTATGACACATTAAGTATATAGCTGTGCCACAGCACAGCTAGAAAGATGAATGGAAAAAGGAGCACATTGTATATGATGAAAGTTTACATTCTACAATGTCAGATCTCCAAATATAAGGTGCAGTCAAGTTTATTACTTTGTAAGTTCTGCAGTGTCACTAGGTTCTTTTCTGATGTTTTCTATCAACTTCTATCATTTTAATTTATTCAACTGATTTTTTTCTTTTTTGCCTTCTGTTCTTCAGCCGATATTTTTTCCAAATGAGATTGGTTATCTATTACTCAATGAAATTGTCTTTCAGCAAAAGCAACAAATAGTTTTACTGATTGTCTTTCACTGGCATGACCCATGAAACAAATTCAGGATTAAGACTTCAGTCCATTGATAAAGAAAGAAACAAGTAGATATTTTTTTATTTCAGTTATTTCTGACCTCTTATCAGGAACCTAAAGATTGCCAACTTTTCTCTTGCTAAGGCAAAAACTTATATTTTTGCTGCTGTCTATAACTAGGAGTTTCATGTGGATGTAAAATTGGTTAATATTACAGTTACGCAATCATCAAGTGGTAAAAGTAGTAATATAATACACATTCAAAAAGAGTCCTCCCTTGACTTTATTATATGATATGATGATGAACAGTAGTGGTTACTAAATATAGTAGAACATGCCATATAAGGTAAACTTACTAGGATGTCTTTGTCTAGCTTTACAAGGGAGGTAGGTGGATGTTATATTTTCACCTCACCAATGCTTTACATTGGAAACTTATGCTTGCAGGATGCTACAAGCTCCTGCTTCTTGTTAAGCATTCTGCCATCTCCAATACCTGCTCTTTGGTGATGATTTCCCACTCCATCCTGGTGTCTACTTTTCCCTCAGCCAGTAGTATGTGGAGAAAGTGGTTGTATTTGGTATTGGTCATGCTCATTTTATGGTTATAAAGCCCCTTTTCCACTCTCCTTCAGCAGCACCAATGTAGAGCTCCCCCCCTCTCACACTGTATAACAGCCCAATAGGCCATGTATTTTTTTGTTAGACATGCCCCTATGAGCAGACACTGTTGCTTGTCATTGGCCACCATTATGCTGGTGTTGTGTGTGTTGATCCTCTTGGCCATATTGCCAGAGCAGCTATAACTAGCTTTTAAACTGTTTTAATTAATTTATGGAGTAACTTTTTGTCAAATAAATGCTTATCTATTAAAGCTATAAAGCTACAAGCAATATTCATCTTTACTGACTTGAACAGTTATTTTCCTGCTTCAGCTTCTCTTTCTTTCAGTACTGCTAATAGTATTATCACCATCACGGTTACCTTTCCTGCATTATTTCATAATGCTTTTGTGCCCACTTTCTGCTAAAACCTTCTGGTAGATGGTCGTTACATTGAAGACAATCTTGTACTAATTTTTAAGTGCTTCAGTATGGGGTGGGGAGTATTAATAGACACTGTTTTACCCACACTTTTTTTTTATAGGGCCAATATGTTCTTCTGTTTATATTGAAAGACATGTCT